ATAGGGTTAATTAAAGGTGAAAATTGAGAGTATTTAAATATGCCTCACATTGAGATGAGATATATTAGTGACAGAAACCATTAATTTGGCAACCGAAAAATAAAAAAGCCAAAGCCATGTGGTTTTATTACTTTCACATAGAAAGATGTAAAGACTCCCAATGTATCATATCACATATATATATCCCAAGCCAGCTTCTTCAGTGAAATAACTTTCCCTCCCCTGCTCTCAGAGCGTATGTTGCAGCTGGAAGAGGTGTGGTAATTTTTTTTAAACATATGTTCTGGGGGTTTCAATTAACTAATATTAAAATTGTGCTTAAGTAATATTCTTGAGGATCTGCTTCCAGTACTCTTTCTTCTTGACAGGAAATGGAGGTAAACCTGCAAAATGAAGAGCATAGAGATATGAGATGTGGAAGGTCTTGTTTGGAATGGGAGGAACTTTTAAAATTTATTTCTTTTATGTATTTTTTTTAAAGAATTCTAGTAGTTTTTCTTCCTGCTTTCACTTCAAATTTGCTCTGTTTGCTTCTCTTTCTGCATTTCCAATGGCATGAATTCACAGATTCACAGAAGAGTTGACACTGGAGATCCTCGGCCCAGCCCCCTTCCTCATGCAGGGTCATCTGGAGTAGGCTGCTCCAGGCTGTGTCCATTTGGGTTTTGAGGTATCACAAAGGATGGAGACTCCACAGTCTTTCTGCATGATCTGCTCTAGCATTTGTCCTTACAGTAAAAAAAAAAAAAAAAAATCGTCTAAATGGAATTTCTTTGTATTTCTTTGAAATATGAAATTGAAACAGGAATCTTCATATTTCACTTTGTACCCACTGCATCTTGTCTGTTCTCCCTTAACCCTCCTCCCCCTTCACTATATATTTATACTCTTGGATAATGAGCCTTATCTGCACTCACACGGTTATGTCTCTTGTACTGGGAAAGCCAGCACTGGCCACAACACTGCAAGTGTTGTCCTCACCCGGGCTGCCTGGAGGGGAAGGATTGCCTTTCAGGACCTGCTAGCAGTGTTCACAGAATCACAGAATGGTTGAGGTTGAGCAGGGACCTCTAGAGATCCTGTAGTCCAACCCCCTACTCCAGCAGGGACACCCAGAGCACGTGGCACAGGGTGGCATCCAGGCGGGTTTGGAAGATCTCCAGAGAAGGAGACTCCACAGCCTCTCTGGGCAGCCTGTGCCAGGGCTCTGTCACCCTCACAGGAAAGAAGTTCTTTCTCACATGGAGATGGAACTGCCTGTGTTTCAGCTTGCACCCATTACCCCTCGTCCTGTCACTGGAAGAGTTTGGCCCCTGGTGCAGCCCAGGATGTGATGACACTGCTAGCTGAGGGTTAGCTTGCCCACCAGCAACCCCAGAGCCTTCCCTGCATACCTCTTTTCCATCGGGTTTCCATCTAGTCTGTCCTGGTTATTCCTCTCCAGGTACAAGGCCTTACTTAAACTTGATAACAAACTTGATGCCAATTTTTTCAGCCTGTCAAGGTTCCTCTGAATGACAGCATAAGTGCTGGGTTTATCCATCATTCCCCCAGTTTTGCACCAGCTGCAAACTTGATATTTTCTATCCCGTTAAGCAGGATTTTTCCCCATATTGACCTCTAACACTGCCACTAGTGTCTGGTCTCCACATGTTTTTTTTTGTTGGAGCTTTCTTTCTGAGCCTGGCACTTCAGTCACTTCTCAGCCTGCCACACTGTCTTCGTAGCCTGCGCTTGCCTCTGTTTGTCTATGAGGCCGTTTCAAGAGGCAGTATCAAAAGCCTTGCTCAAGTGCTCTCCTTTCATCCACCAGGCCAGTCATCTCACTGCAGAAAGCAGGTTGTTCAGGTAAAATTTCACCTTCATAAATCCATGCTAACTACTCCCGTTTGCTTTACCATCTCTGTAAGTGAAGAGGATTTTCTCCTACCATCTTCCCTACAATCAAGGTGGAGATGACTGGCCAGGAGTTTTTTGGATCCTCCTTCTCAAAGATGGGAGTGACATTGGCTTCCTCCCAGTCCTTGGGAATCTCCCCTGATCCCCGTGACCTCTCAAAGCTTATCAAGGGTGGCCTTGCAGTGGCAGTGCCCTTCGTGTCCTTGCCATCAACTCCAGGTGGCTTTTCCTTTGACAAGCCCTATCCCCGCTCGATCAGATGTGTCTCTGTATTCCTCTTGGGTTACCTCTCCCTGCTTCCACCTCTTGTACTTCTCCCTCCTCCTTTTTATGTTTAGCCAGGAGCTCCTTATTTGCTTGTTTTCCTGCCTGTTGTGACGGAGCCTGCCTTTCCTGAAACCCTGTATCCATCCATGGGAGCACTCCAGTTGCATGGGCTATCCCACCATGTCTCCATGATCCTAAAGGGACTGTATCCCTGCAACTGCACACAGACCTCCGATTCCTGCTCTTTGTGTCCCTTGATGCATGCCCTAGTGCACAAGGATGTCAGAGGAGGACCCCGTCATACCGATTTCCCAGGAAAGATGTGAGGACTTGTCCTGTAATTCTGCATTTCCGTATTTGTGTGAATATGCGTGAGATGGGGCCCCTTCTGCCTCATTTTGTTTTTTTTCTAAGTCTCAAAAGTGCTGTTTTACCCTTATTCATGGTTTATCAAAGTTCCATAAATGCATGCTTTCACATCTTGGATACACTTCAGGTTATTCCTTTCACTAATGTCTTAAGAATTTTCAGCATTTTCTTTCCTCTTTTTCATCTCATTGTGAATTTTTGATTTCATCATTTCATTCATAAAGAAAAAATCTTTCAAGTTGGAATGAGTTTAGGTGTAAGAAGATGTTGCGTAGATGAGTTTAATTGCAGGTGAGCAGAACAGGCTTCAACTTGCCTGTTTTCAAGAGTCAAGTCATTTGAACAGAAATCAAGTTTCGTTAACAAAAAAGTGAAATCATATGCAGCTTAAAACTGAACAGGAAGGAAAACAGTTTTGTGAAATGGCACAATCACCTGCTGCAACTGCAGAGTGCTCACAAATCGGTTTCCTTTGCAGTGTATTCTGTATGCTGAGTTTCATCCTAATTTTTCTTTGGAAAATAAACATATATACCATGTAAAGAAATAATTGTACAGATTCATCTCTCATATATTGCTCATATATGCTCTGTCGTTAGAGATATGCGGGCAATTAATATAATTTTCTTCCCAAAACAACCACTGTGTTCTACATCAGTTACCAACTTAGAGTATCAGCCATGCCTGGAGCAGGGTTGCGAGATCTTCAACTGCAGAGTGTCTAAAAATTGGGTGTTTCTAGGGTGAAGAGTTCTCTTTTCCTGCCCCTTTGCCCAGGAAGGGGGTCTCTAGCAATATACAGTGAAATAGGAGTTGATCTACTGGACATATATCTGAGTTTCATGCGGCTCAAGGCCTGGAGAGAGTCATTGAAGTTCCCATAAAAAGCAGTTATTTTCTACAGCCTTTTGTAATAGTCTATCACTACACTGCAGAGATACCCAGTAACATAGGTGTTTCTAGCTTGGAGTCTTATCTTTGTCTGCACTCCTCTCTTTAATTTTTATCGTGCTCTTTCAGTGCCAGCTGCCCTTTTTAATTCTTCTATGGCAAATGACATTTAGCTAATGCAATTCTTCGAGCCTAAATGCTCATATTATCTGAGAGCTTTCTGGTGTGCTATGAGGTATGTCCAGAGTGGAAGTGGAAGGTGAGAATGGACTCCATTGTGTGATGTGTACGTGTATTTGTAAAGCACATTAACAGACTGCATGGTAAATGCTTTGGGTGCACGCTGCAGCATTCAGCTAAGGCTTGTAGCATTTCGAGTAACTGATTAGCTTTTAGTGATTTTAGGATTTTATCCTGAATGCAAGGATATAGGCTTTTAGTGATTTTAGGATTTTATCCTGAATGCAAGGATATAGATTTATTGTGAGATCATGCTCTAACATTGCACCGTACAAAGAATTACTTGTTAATAATTTCGATATAACATCTAAAAAATAAAAAGGCAAATTCTTTCTGTGAAAATAGGCAAGTCTGTGATCTCTTACGTGCTGTCTGGGGAGTACATGAAGGAACTTGCAGAAGTAAATTTGCATCAGTTTTCTTCACAGAGATGGGGTCAGAAAGGGGTAAAACTTTTCTCCTGTTGCACACTCTTACTTGCTCTTGATTAACTTAATGCATTTCTTTTTGGGGTAAGGACACACTTATTAGGTGATGCTTTCATCTGTATTTAAAACCTCTTAAAAACTATGCATTCTGCTAGAATTTGGTTAAGCTTTGCCGTTACATTTAGAAGACTCATTAAAATGAAAGTAAAATAGTGTCATAAAACAGAAGGAGCTTGAGATTAAGTGAGTCTTAACTCACCTCTGCAGAAAGATGAATCTGAAAGTTTTGACTTCTTGCCCTATCAGAGACATCTATGCAACAAACTACACTCAGTTGTTTGATCATGGACTTACTCAGGCTTTAGCAAAAGGAAGAAAAAATCCACGGAAAAAGGTTGTAGTTCTTAAGCTGCTATACCTCCTCCTGTTCTTTTTTGCTCCTGTTCTCTTATTTTATATTTTTCTATTGTCCCTATATTTCCTCTTGTCTGTACAGTTCACCAGCTCCTTCAGGACTTTCTTCACCAAGATACTGTCAGAAGAGGCAGTGCTTTGGGAGACCTTTTAGTTTGCATGTTGCTGAGTTGGTCAATAAAAAATGTATTCTTGATCGGTGAGAGTGAATAAATGAAAGCAGAAAGATGATATAGTCTTGGATGAAAACCTAGGATAAAGCCTTGATTATGTGAAATATTGTTTGCTGTTTACCCAACAGAGTGTATCTCTGTTTTTAGCGAATGGTGACAAAACAAAAATAAAAAGAATCAGCTTCAAATTTTGTGACGAAAAAGCAGTTCTCAGCAGGTTAAAAGTAGATTTTTAATACTTCCATTATGCATCTCCTGTTCAGGCAGCTTCATGATTTGAGGGGTGTGTTATTGAAATACAATAATTGTTTTCATTCAGGTAAACAAACATTAAAGATATTTGATGGGAATGATGCAGTGAAACGCAATCAATTTCGACTGATTTCAGTTCCAAGGATTGCAAAAAATGAAGAAGTTGTGGTAAGACATCTGGTGAAGATCTAATATTCTAGTGTGATAAATGGGGTGAATTACTGCATATTGGATTAGCCAAGGGGCAGCCATTTTACAAAAGTAACAGAACAGTAGCAAAATGTGTAAAATGGGATAGAACATTAGAGAGGAACATCTGTTGGCACCTGAGCTAGTCAGATCTGAGACAGATGTATACGGCAGTTACCTGCACTCCCTGCCTGAGGAAAAGCTAATGGATTGTGGGTGGCACGAGGGTCCCTCCCTGGCTTTTCCAGTGCTCCATGTTGGGTGGAAACTTGTTCCAGGACTAAATCAGATGTTCAAGGCTGGGCATAGCCCCTGGGTAAGGGCCTCTTGCAATGCAGAGTGGAACCCGGTGGGGATGTGGTGGGGATCACAGGAGGATGGGGCACGGAGGGGACCGGCATCGGGAGAAGGTGTCACCTCCAAGTCTTGGTAAGGTTTTTACCTTTGTAGCGTGCTCAGAATGGAGGGAAGTTTTGAAAATGATGTTTACTGCTTCCGCACATCAACAGCCTTCAGGAAACATTGCTTATACTGTTGACAGCCCTTTTATTTAGGACCATTTCCAAGCTCTCAAGCACGTTTCATTACACTGCTGCTCACAGTATCAAGGCAAAGTGATGCTGGTTCCTACAGATGACTTAGGGCCCCTGCAGGGCTTCGATCCCTGCAGAGCTGGCACTGTCAGACGTGCTGCGGGCTAGTGCTGATGAGGGTAAAAAAATTCCTCCGACTGCTGCCGTATCCCAGGAACAGCCACGCACCTTTCCGCTTCGCAGTGTGTAGGTTTAGGCAGCCACATGGCCGGGAAACTCAGCCATGAGTTTCAGGTTTCCCTTAGTGCAAGAAGACTGACTCTCCATGCAGTGTGTGCTAGCTTTATTGCTGCTGGTTTTCTGTAACCTGCGCAGTTAAAAGAACCGTCACTGTCTACAGTGCAATGGGGTGTATCCAAATACGTTTAAGCCATTTGTAACAAAAATCTTTCTTTTTTGCTTCCTCCACTAAAATGTCTTCTTTTGTTTGTTTGTTTGTTTGTGTTTCCATTGCTATTTACCCACCATTCTGCACTTAGCACCTTTTGAATGTTGGTATGTAAGTGAGGTGTTTATAAATACCTATGGCTGTGCAGGTATCGTTGGTGGCTTTTCAGTAAAACGCCCCTTTGTCTGGCTGTGTTCCAGGAAGCTGCTTTGCGGGCGTACTACATAAACGACGATCAGCAGGAGTACGAGCTCCAGACCTTCACCCAGCAGGCCCTGCTGTCTGACGATGTCATCAACAGGAACCACGCTCCGGACGACACCAACAGCGGTCCCGTGTTCCGGGAATCCACCCCCGACGCGTGGATCATCAGAGCCAAACCGAAGGATGAGGAAGTGATCAGAATTTATCCTGCTTGGCTTAAGTGAGTGCTTCCCTGCCTTATCACAAAGCTCTGCTAATTACCTAAATTTATCCTCCGAAGCCTCGCTCGGAAAATGACTTGGGGCACCAAACTCTCACAAATAAAACAGACTGCAGTGCATTCCTCTATAGTTACGGTTCTTCTGATGTACTTCTCTAAATAGTCAAGAAATATTATTAATTAATTACTGTTACAGAGTCTGGAGAGACTTATGGCCCTTTTTGCATGCCTAGACCATATTGTGCGAGTTTTGTAGTTCTATTTTATGTTTTTCTGGTAAGATCCCACCTTACATTAGTTCTGTCCGTATACAAATTATTACATATAGTTGTTACCTGAAAATTTGTTGTGTTTTGAAAGAAGTATTAAGTGGGAAGAATATATTGCAACTACTGTTGTGAGAAAAGGGGGAAAAACAACAAAAAAATCTATTCTATTTACCACTGAGACATCTTAAGCATATTTAAGCAGTGAAAAGATGATTCACTGAAGACCTACTGATATGGGCAGTGGGATAAAATAGAAATGTTTTGCTCTTCCTTCTTATGCAACTACAGTGCCAGACTTCAGCCAATATTTGCAGGTGAGTTTGTGTGTAGAAAGAAACAAATTTGCAGTGCTACAGTTTTAATGGCCAGTTCCTGGAGACGAGAGTCTTCGCCTGCCTAGTGTGGCTAACACTGCATCTGCTATAAGAGGTGTTTCTTTTCTCTCTAGGGTGGGAATGGCTTATATTTCTCTACGAGTAAATAAGGACAGCACTACACAGACTGTGATCAAAGAAGTGCTTCCATTGCTTGGAAGGCAGGTAAACAAATATCATTAGTATATTACTTAAGGGACCCTGAATTCAGTTGTCTATGTGTTTGCCTTTTTTTTTTTTTTTTCTTTTTCTATTTGGAAAAATTATTACTGGTTCATTTTGTTTCATAAATTTTCTCTTATCTTGATTATAGGTCTTCTTGCCATGTACTGAACATTATCTTTAGTCTTTCCGGGTCAAGCAACTCCTCTTTTATTAAAATGATCCTTTATATTTACCACTTCTCCTATTTCCTTTGAAAGCATTTATCATTGCAGCAGTGCATCATATTAAGTGGCAGCTCTTCTGTACTCACAGCATAATAAAGATATTCATGAAGAAATCTGCCAATGTATATTCACCTGTAAAAGGCAGAATTTCATTTTTAGGATGTGCAGTCTTGAAAAAATATCATTGCTTCTCACGGTGAGTTAGACTGAAAAATTTCTCAGGTTATTTGTATCAAAAAAGATTTCGTGGTGGTCATGGTTTGGCAAGAGCAGAGACTGTCTGAGACAGATTTCCGTTTGCTGTATGGCACAATGTTATTTAAAGATACAAAATTTCCCTGTGCTCAGGATCCTCTCCAAATAACACTCATCCACTACAGGCCAAGCAAATGTAGAAAATCTGGGCTTTTAACACCTCTATTCATGACGCACAAAGCAGGATACGGTGTCTCTGAGCCTCAAATTCTTCACATGAGAGACTTCCTCAGTTTGAGTGTGCAGGATTGTAATAATGATAGCAAACGGTCGAGATTTTGGGCTTTTGGTTGAGATTTAAGGCCTATTCCTTAGCTGATCTTCAAGAGCTGGTTCATTCCTGTCCCGCAGGGACACTTTCCTCAGGAAGAACATTATGGAAATATTCTAACTGTGCTATTTGTCACAGAACAGGGTAGAGTTACGTGTTCTTTGTGGGAGCCATGCTGTGAGGATACCTAGGCAGGTAAAACAGAGGAGGCTGAAAGTATAAAATGAAAATTAGGAGAGGATTGAATTCTGAAATGTTTATTTTCCATGTTTTGTGTGTGCAGTGCATAATGTAGCTGCTGATTTAATATAAACACCTGGCAGCAACATGTCCTGTTTAGAAAGTACAATTACATGTTGCATCTTTTGGCAGACGGAGTCTATCCAGAATTTCAAGTTAGTAGAAGTCCTTATGGGCAGTAAGCAAGGTGAGTGAAGGAGCATTTGCCAACTGCACATCTGTAAGTGATCTCTGAGTGTTTATTTTGATTTTATTACAGCCATATTTATTTTTTTACAAGAAATTCCTTTGTAAATAAAACTTCAAGTTGTTGAAACAGTGAGGTCGGTACTTTAAAGTCTCGTATATTCTGTGGGCATGCAGTCCCCTTCCCTCGTTCTCATGTGAGGGTTTGTTAGCCATTTCTGGAGTATACTGACACTTTGGCAAGGAGACCTGTTTTGAGGAGCTGCCTTTCACCAATACCAGTTCCCCACGTGGAGTTATTTGTAAAATCTCTTTGACTCCCATCCTCCCATCCTGCTTTTCCCTGCCAGTGCCCGCCAAAGGAAGGGAGATGGTTCAAGGGACAGACTTCTCTTGGCAAGTCCAAGAATATATGTGCATTAGTAAAGTGCTAAAATCTCTAATCCTATTATTGCTCGAGAAGTCTGTGATATTGTGATGACAAAATTGGTATTGGACAGACTTGGACCTCCCTTCACATGCAAGACTGCAGGAGAGAGGAGCGAAGCAGCTGCTGAAGTGTTGGGTGGTGTTGTGGCCACGCTCAAGTGAATACCCAAGGCTCAGATAATTCAGCTGTAACTTTACTTTCTCTGTAAACATTGTCAGTAAGTTTTAAAAGGTCCTTGTCGCCTCGTGAACAAGTGTTTTAACTTGATTCGTTTCAGATCCTCCGTTTAAAGCTCTGTTTTTAGCCAAAAGTTGTGAAATGTTTTGGCATTTTATTAAAACACAAGGGTCAATTAATACTTCAGTCGCCAGGGTAGCCACCCAACTGTTGCAAAAGTCTGCTTCTCTTTTTGGGTGGCTTCAAGCTGTTGCTGCCCTGTTTATCTGTCCAAGGCTACGGTATTTAAACTGAACAAATCACCTTTGAGACTCTTCATGATACCTTTATGCTTTTTATGCTGAACAAAGAGTGGTTCAGGTCTGTGTGCTCTTTGTGTTAGAGGTAGGCAAAGATGTGGATTTTCTATAAAATTTTGTAAGTTTGTTGTTTAATTGAGCCTGATAATTACATTTGAAAGCAGTAGGAGTTACTAATATTCTTGTTATCTCTAGTTCAGCAGTCGTCCAGTTAATTGTCTCATTAAGGTTGATGACAACTTCTGCTGCTTTCAAACATGACTCATGTTCTTGCTCTCTCTAGTTCAGCGGATGGTGTTGGACAACCAGGAACTGATCCTTAATAGACTCAAGGATATACGAAAGGTAGGTCTGAAATATGGTCCCTTCTTATAGCAAGTAGGGAGTCCCCTTTTTTTAAAGGAAAATAAATATTTAGTTACCTCCCAGTTACCTCTTAGAGAAGCCCAGTGTTTGGACTGAAGTTTGTTTCTATTTTGGGATCTTTCTTTATGCTTAGACAATTTGATCTGGAAGGTTCACAACTATTTGGGATTTTCTTTCACAATATCACTGTGTTTTCACCATGTCATGTGATTTATTTTTCTTTATTTTCATAGACTTCAATACGTCAGATGAATCAAACAAGGTTTTACGTTGTGGAAAATAGCAAATCCATCGTTCGAGTAAATTTATTTGTTGGTGGCCTTCCCCCTCAGCTTTCTGCTGAAGAATACACTAATATTCTCAAGGATGAACTAGCTATCAAAAGTAAGTAAGCAAATGCATGTTCACAGCTGTTCATTTGTGCAGAATAAAATGTATGAGTGTGGTCCTTTCTTGTTTTTTTCTAATGTTTTCATTTCCGAAAAATCAGTGTGCTTTCTACTACATGTTCTTTTTTAAAAAAATTATTTTAATACTTTAACAGTTGCACAAGAGATATGACAGCTCATTATTCAATTATTCAAGGAATAATTATTATGTTACTTCAGTGATATTTCACTGCACCACCCTGCCTAGTATAGAAAAAGTCCCAGGGGAGACATACCTACTAGCACCTCTGTTTTCCCGTTCTTTTCCCACAGATTTTTTTTGCTTGAGCTCTACTCCATATCACTTGTGTGCTCTATCCCTGGTCACAGTGAAATATGATCTGTGGGTTCATAACCGACAGACAAACACTCAGTGAAAAGAAGAATTTATTTTCCTCTTTCAGAGAAGTGTAATTGATTTTTCACAGTCCTTCCAACTAATGCATTCCATAAACACTATCAAGAAGACATCATGTATTTTACTGCAGTAAACTGAAGTTTTTTCCCCCTATCTTTTATATAACTTCAAAAGGAAGTGAAGTTTAAATTCCAGGAAGTATGCTCCTTTTGTGAAAATCAGTTTACCTTTTCTAACTTGCAAAGTAATCTTAGAAGAGGGAAAGTGTTAGCTGGAGGTTCTCCCTGTGTTTGTATAACTTCTACTATTTATTTATATTATCTTTTTATGTAACTTTAAAAAATATTTTAAATATTTACTTTAAATGTACCAAGGTTTTATGTATTTGTATTTTTACCCTTTGCAGCAAACGTCGTATCCGTGAGTCATGTTTATCAAGCACAAGGTAGGCATTAAGATTTTCAGTTTGCAAACCATGTCTGTTTTCAAAACTGGCACTTAATACTACCGGTTTTAAGCTCAGAATAGTGGTTCCCTTTATAATCAAATAGTTGCTGAGATCAAGTATAACACATCAGTAAATTTTATCAAGAACCGTGGATTAATGTCACCCTATTAAAGCAAGGTTGGCTTCATGCCTCTTGTAGAAGGAAGGGGATGTGTTCCATGATGAAAACGAGCTTAAAGTTTCACTTTAACTGCGTAGTGCTTGCACCAATGAGCTGTCAAAATTCCTTCAAGTGCTCCCTCTTACCTTGGCTTCTAAAATACTAAAATTTGATTCTTTTCTTGAACATCCTGAGATCGTTTCAAGGTCACTTGTTTCCTAGCCTCAGTGTTAAGACTTTAACTGGCTTCCTTTGGGCTCGGTGGTCAGATGCCTGAAGGAGATGCTAACCCTCATCTCTGCTCTGCCGACCATGCGGGTGGTTTATCTCTGAGCTGTTGCTTTGCTCTGGCTGTATGCTTTTTATTTGACTAGGGGCAGAGGCCATGAGGCTTCTGGGAGGCTTCTGGAAAAACAGAAACCGTGCAGCTTTAGTATAGAGGCAGGTGCAGACCTGTAATTTTTGTAAACTTGAAAAGAAAAATGTGGCATTTTTCTTTGTATGTACTTGCATGTGCTTTTTCTGCCTGGATCTGGCAAGTTTCAAATGCTTTGGTGGGCCGAATTTCCAGGTAACTGTTAACTGGATCTTCCACGACCTTCTTCTGAGGATGGTGGTTGCTCACTATGATGTAGTGTAGACCACATCATGGAAAGCTCTCACTGAAAAGCTCTAGAAATGGAGCTGTTGCATAACCCCCTGCTGATTCCATGCTTTCTTTGGGTATTTGCCATGTCCACATACACAAATACTGATTTTCCAGAGTGAAAACCACAAAACTTTCTGATGCGTCCTCTCTCCTACAACCTTCTGAATGGAGACTAGTATTAATAATACTCCAGTCACAGTTTTGTTTTTTTTTTTTAACCAAGTTTACATGTATGTGCTTTTCTTTACAGCCATTCCTCTGCTAATACCTGGCTTTTATTTTTCTTCCCCCCGCACTTTTCCTGAGTATTTTCATGTTTCCTAGACTCGCTGATCAGTGTGAGTCTTACCAATACCTTGATCCAAGATATAAGATAAATAGTCAACATTAATTCTTTCACTTTGGTTTGCCTTAGCAGCCAAACTGTGTTACCCACCTACCTCTCATGTGCTGTCCATCGTACTCATTGGTTTTGTCCTCCCTGTTTTCCAAGTCTGTCTAACTCACTGGGCATCTTATTTCATGCTAACTTCTCATTTTTATTTTCTTGTCTTTTTTCCCCCTTTGCCTGCTATTTATTCCAAATTTTCCCATACAAGACCTAAGCCAATTTAAAGATCTAAAATGGATTCTCCAGCCAAATTACTCCAGCTTGTGGTCATTTCTACTGAAATACTGACAGTGAATAGAACTCTTTTTTTTTAATAATGAGTTATGAAATGAAAACTGATACTCTTGTTGCTTGTATATGTTGAGAACAGCCTGTTAGTTATGATAAAGCATATGGAAATAGGTGGTATTTCTGAAACCCAAAGGAGATCTTTACGGAAGTATTATACTTGTGCTGCAGTTCTTTTTGTATTTGAACTACTGTGCTTCAACAGAAATGCAGGATTTGGGGGCATGAAGGAAGACAAAAAGAAATAGGAAAAAGCTAACACGGTGATAAGCAGCAATCAGAAATATTGCAGAATATTTCTTGTAGCAGCGATTGCTGAATATTATCCTAAGTAAACTTCTGCTGTGATTTGATAAAGTTGGTTTTCTAAAAAGAGGTTATTTTAAAAGACTGTTCTAACACCTTTTTACAGGTGCTGTTGTCCTCGAAATTTCATGTTTTTCTGAAGCTGAAAGAATATATATGCTAGTTAAAGATACAACTGTCAATGACAAGCCTCTGAATGGTGTGGTGATTCCTGAAGTTGTGGTAAGAAATGAGCTTAAATTTATAACTTTTGCTTTAAAAAAAAAAATTAGACTTTTGCTGGTGGAAATGAATAGCGATACAGGATATTCAAGTGAGTTGTACAGTGGGTTTCAGTAAACAATGCAGTGAAAAAATACTGAGAGGATTTACTTCCTGTGTCTCATAAACTTTTGTGGCTTAGAAGTCATTTGTTTTATTACTCTTGATTTGTGAAGAAGTGTAAGTCTGAGTATAAAACTATAAAGGTGAGGAAACACAGCATGTTTGCTGATCCCCTTAAAAGGGTAATCCCAGACATCTGCCAAACACTGCCTTTGCCAAACCCCCAGAACACTATAGTAGCAATAATTAAAAAATGACCTTTAAAGCAACTGCGTGGTGACGTGAGAGGCAGGATTTAGGTTCCTGTTTCAAAAGGGCACAGACTGTCAGTGAGGAGCGTTTTCCTTGGGGAGGGCAGCTCGGAGGTTTTGTAAGGGAGACGAGCGCATGTGGTTGCTGCCCTGCACAGGTTTCCTGGCCTTTATCAGGAGTAGAGTAGGGTGTGGAGATGGGGCTGCTTGTGAATAGGTGTTTACAGGGGGGTAAGGGTGTCTTTTTCCTGATGCAAGATCCTGCTTGGAAGCCCCATGTCATGGCCTGCTAAGGTGGGATTTCAAGTGTCTCTTCGGCCATCTCGCTGGAAAGAAACAACGTTTAATGAAATATTTCATGTTCAATTGTTCAGTATTGTCAAATATTGTTCAAATGGCCTTAGATCGTCCAGCTGACGCTGTTCACTCACTGCCCACAGAAAACTGATGAGTGGTAATAGACCCTGCTTTGAGCAGCAGTGGGGCTGGATGACCTCCCCCTGAGCCTTCCAACCTGTATTATCCTACAATCCTGTTAGTCTTCGTTCGCATTTTTGTATCTGTGATGGTCTAAATATAGCAGAGAGGAAATGCTCGTGCAAGAACTCAGCACAGTATTAAAATTAGGCCGTGTTTTGCTTTCCTCTTGTGGGTGGAATGTGAAGAAAATGGAATGGAATACCAATATATAGCCTCAAAAGCAGAGTGGGTCTTTAGACATGAAAGCAATGGTGTCGAAGTGCATGAATATTTTTCCAAATTGCAACCTATATTCAAAACAAAACAACAAAAAAAGCCATCTTACAATTCCAAGGAAGTAAATTAGTGGATGACATCTACTCTGCCTTTTGCTAGTGCTCCATTTTTCCTGTTTTAGATTCATTTGCCCTATTTCATTTATCTCCTGAAGAGCAGGCCTTGTTCCAGTCTAGCATAACCATGTCTGCCAGGAGTAATTTATCCTCTTCTGGTCTTTTGTGACATACATTTTCACTTCACAACATTAAATGAGTGAAAACACTCCATTTTCATTAGAGTGCGAGCCAATGCAGTCTTTCACGAGCTGCCCTGCTAGTGTCTTTAAGGATTTATTGTAATACTGAGGCACTCTGGTACCCCTGTTTGGTAGCATCCTAGGCTGGAGACATTGCAAAGCTGAATTTTTGAACTGAAAACTGCTTTCACAGAATTCCTAAGCTAAAAGAAAAAAGTTTCAGATAGTTGTTGTAGCCCCTTATCAGCTGCAAAGGGGACAGTTTTTGGTGTTTTGTCATTAGTGGTGCTCATCAGTGGACTGTCCCCTGGCACTTTATTTTTGGGTTCCTTGTGAGTAGTTTAAAAATAAAAGGGAGTTTCCCCAGTGGTCAGAACTTTCCATTTCCAGCAATTCTTCACACAAACATCCCCAATGTAAATGCTTGCCCACTTAATCACTTCCCTAACCAAGGCACTGTTGAGGGGTTGCCTTCCACCTTTCCACTGCAGCAATTCCCCCAAAACAGCAGAGCTCCTCGAGGTCCTGCTGAGGTTCAGGTTGTGCTGACGTTCCTCAGAAGAGGCAGGGACCATCCTGTCTGGCTGGGAAGGGGGAATCTTGGCAATGAGGAGCGCTTGTACTCGGGAGGTGCCAGCGACAGCCCGTTTGCAAATGCCGGCTTCACCTGGAGCGGGCGCATTCCCGCGGTTCTGGAGGAAACACGGCGCCCACCATGACGCACTGGGAGCGCCTGCGGCACAGGACGCGTGGGCTTCCCTTCTTGGTGAGCATCTCGGAACCTACCAAGGGTCCAAAATCAGCGCGAGTCCCTGCAGATCTCGGGGAACTGCCTTGAGCGCCTGTTTCTGCACCCGGTTCTTGAGAAAGTGCCCGTAAAAGCGGGTAATGCAAAACGTCTGCCTGGCGTGTCACTTCTCAATGTCCTCAGCCGGTGTTTTTACACCCAGATTTCCTGAAGAAGAGAAGGCAATCGCATGTTCTTGTCTTCATTGTGATAAGGTATTTGTTTGGCTCAAGTCTTGGCCTCGATGCTTTCCTGTCATTCGTTTTTCTAAAAAGTCTTTGTTTACTTAGAGCTGCAGAAACAACTTTTTTTTTTTTGCCCCATTTTCTCTTCCTTTCCCCTGCCCTTTCATTACACTTTTTTTTTTACAACTCAGCAACTTCCCAAGTGCAGACAAGACTGAGGCTTCATCTGTCTCACCTCGTTAAGAAGGGCAAAAAGGTTGAATGCAAAAATGAAAGAAAAGTGCAAAGTGACCCTGTGAGGACTCAACACAGAGCGGAAGAATTCAGAATTTCAACTGTTAATGTTCATTAATGCCTGTGAAGGCTAGAGGGGAAAAAAAAAGTCCATCTTTCTGGCTGGAACATGTGGCTCCTGGAGATGTTGACATTATAATTCAAGAAGCCCTCCCTTTAGGCATCAGTAGCGTGCATTGTTTTGCCTAGACTTCCTTCTGCTGGTTGCAAATATCCTCTCTGTTTATTTAGCAGAAATAAGTGTATCCGTTCCCCCTCCTCCAACCTTTTTTTTTTTTTTCTTTAATGTTGAGCACAATCTGAATAGTTGCTTCCCCTTTTCCAGTAAAGCCTGAGTGTGGACATGAGGGATTTTCTGCCTTTGCAGCAGGGTGTGAAGGAGGTTCATCGGTTACAGCTGGGTTTCCCTTGGGCTCTAGTTGCAGCTGGTGGTGAGAAAGGAGCAGCAGGGCTGTGGGGCTGTCTTGCCTCTCTGTCACCCAAAGTAGTCCTTGTCTAATTTTTTTTGGATAGAAAACATGCATTTTGTCTCCAGCAGACAGCAGAATTTAAAGAGGAAGGAGGGAGCAAAGAGGTGCGATGGATACTTAGTGTTTCTGGTTTCTTGGTGCACTTTCCATTGGGTCTATGAGGCACATCTGGTTAAAGGAGGTATTTTGCATGGAGACAGTGACACAGAGGGGAGAAATTTTTGTGTACCTTGTGTATGGAAGCCTTGGCATACGCAACAGAGCCTCATTCTCCAAGCATTATCGCTCAGCTCTCCTGGGACATGTTGGGCAGGTGTCTGATACTGAGATGACAACACCTATTCTTCATTTTTAAGCATCCAAATCAGCCTACAAGTAAGCAGTGATTTGGGGTATCTTGTTGTCAGGCTGCAGCTTGCTTCCTCAAAACGTTGGTCAATCATTTGTCCCGTTTTCTGCATTCTTAGACTTAGTTCGCGCTCTCCTGTGATTGCTGATGGGCAGCAGTGGAAACACGGCCTGGGTGCTGGCTCGTCCCCTCTGTAGCTTGTGGCCTCTTCCATGTTTGCAAGATGTTGCTGCTGCTTCTCCAAATAATTCTTGTCTAAGTGACTTATATTTAGCACTGTTCTTCTTTTCCCTGAATTCAACCCATCAGCTACGTGACAAATTGCCGTTCCCTGAATGCTGTCCAATATGTAAAAGCAGATTGTCCGGGCTCGGGAACTGTGGCAAGCAATTCTGTTATGAAACACCCTCATTGAAATGCCCAGTAAACTTGTTTAACTTACACTTGAGCCATATGAAAGTGTTAAGCCCTGTGTCAGAAGGAATGAAAAGTGTCTAGGTATTTTTAAAACATTTCTTGGGTGGTACTTCTCATAATTAGAAGTTCTGATCTCTGCGTAGGCTACAGATGCCGTTTCTGTATGGTACACTGAAAATCACTTTGGGTATACTTATTTAAATATGTAATTTTAAAAGAAGCTTTCAGTCTTTCCTTTGTGGAGGAGGTATGTCGGTGTCTGCCCTAAACTGCCTGAAAATTTTGAATTTTTTGGTCCTTTTAATTTTTGGTGGTCCTGTTAGAAAACACGCAGAAGAAATCTTTCAGCTTGTTTTTGGAAAGCGTTCCCTTTTAGCACGAAAAGTATTTGGATTAACATGATTCTGGAAGTCATTTTGTCCCTCAAACTGTGCATTCCTGTGCCCTGTTTGCTGACAGCTTTTAGCTATAATGCATTTGCTTTTAACATTAGGCCGAACTCTTTAGTTAGAGTGGGCAAAGGATACTCGAGTTTCCCAGAAAACGAGAGCCTATGCTTGTCTGTCCATTATCTGAACATTGAGCTTTTTATTTGTTGAATCTGAATACCTTCTTTTTTCTTCTTCTTCTTTTACTAAACCTCTAGGAAATGCTTTGAAATGTAGCAGTTATTTTCCTGCAGTAGTTGTTTGTTTTGCTAATCTCTTCCAAGATACCGCAGAACTGCTGCCCACTGCTTGTATTTGTGAATCCGAAAAGTGGGGGTCTAAAAGGTCGGGATCTGCTCTACAGTTTTAGAAAGCTGCTAAATCCCCATCAGATCTTTGAGCTTACTAATGGCGGCCCACTGCCTGGGTAAATTGTGGTATTTTCTTTATTATTGGTGCTATTTTACTACCTGTTTTGGAAGGGTCAGATTTACCAGATTTAAAGATCTAAATTCCATCTGTTCACTGGATAAGTCAATATAAGTAAATTTTATTCTTTTCCTGAAGATCAGAGTGGTGGATCACTCCTTCCAACTGGTCTTATTCTGAAAACGAATGAAAACTTTACAGTTCTCTAATGAAAAGGGAACAGAGTAGTTTCTGATGTGTGTGCTCACATCAAGGCTAACAGGGCCCAATCCTGGGAAAGTCATACAAACTTTATTATAATGCATAACTCTGAACTATAACCAGTAAAAACATTTTATGGTAAACCGAGGTTGGAACGAAAAATGTCATACGGCCTCACAACGCTTCTCATTTTCATTTTTATTCTGATGTTTCATAGAAACTAGCAGGAAGATACAATAAAATTTTCTATCTTGACTCATGGAGCTTGGCCAGAACAGCAGATTTAACAGGGGCTGCCTGATCCCAGCTGCAGCATTTCTAAGTACAAGAGCAGAGCTTGACAAGCTCGTGGGGACGCAGTGGCCGATTACTTGATTTAACTAACGCAGATTTGTTACCAGCTCCATAAAACAGAGCGGTGGTCATAGTTTACTCAAAGTACCCTGGCATTTTGGTGCTGTTTTAACAGCAATTCTTGACAGACTGTTCAAAGCAAATTTTCCTGTAGTTTCCATCGGGAGTATGCAGCTTATGCAAGAAACAGGAAAAACAACCAGTGCAGACTAATTATTTTGTGAGTGCTGTATAATTCTGTTGCGCTGTAATTCAAGCCACAACTCAGGTACTTAGTAAGTGTTGTTAAACTCATAGATTTCTTTTTTTTTTTTTTTTTTTTAGCTTGGGTAGCTTTACGGCAAAATACTGTCACTTTTTTACAGCTCCCTGTGAAATACAAATTCCGTGGCAGCATGGCTTTGTAAGAAGGGATGCAAAGTCACAAAGTGTGAGAGCAAAGGAGAAAATGGCCCTATATTCTGTTTTACAAGGGCAATCATAACATAGTGCTTGCACTGTAGAAAGCACTACTTCAAAAAAAAAAAAAGCCAAAACTTTAGAGATTTACAGATTTTCAGATTAAAATGGTGAATAAGTAGATCTCTGTTTTGAGTGAGAAAGGAATTCATTCACTCCATTAACCCAATTATTGCCAGCTATGAAAAGCCGTAGGAAATTGTGCTTTCTCACTGCTTTTAAGCACATAAAAAGCAGCTTCTGCAGATCTGTTGGCTTTCCTAACGCTGCTCCGGAGCGAAGGGCAGAGGGAGGAGCCCGTGTGGGCTCCTCTCGGGAGCGCCTAGTCCCAAGGAGCCTGCTGTAAGCCCGCGTCTTCCCTCTCGGTGTCTCGGCAGGTTCCACGCGTTCTCCGGGGTGCCCTCCTTCCGCGTGCTGGTGTGCGGCGGCGACGGCACCGTGGGCTGGGTGCTGGGCGCCCTCGAGGAGATCAGGCACAAGCTGGCGTGCTCGGAGCCCTCCGTGGCCATCCTGCCCTTGGGAACGGGTGAGCAGCACGCGCTTCCCAAGACGCTCCGGTTCCGCGCTCGCCCCGCTGCGCTGGGAGGGCCCCGGCCTCCGTTCCTCTTCGGAGTACGGTTGTAGGTAGCACTGTTCAGCGGCAGATACGTTATTTGGAGACCTAGGTGTCCTGTCAGTGTGGTAATAATTCAGTAGCAAACTTGTGATGATGGAAACTTAACAACTTTGTTATTTCACAATGCCTTTTCCATAAGGACTGCTGGGGAAAAAATGGTATCATAACCATTAAATCAGAATAATGAACTCAGTAACTTGAGTTGGGGCTGGCAGAGAACAGAACAAAGACTCCTCCTTCCACATAGCTCAGGGTTGTGTTTAGGTTTTATTGTCCCTGTTGGGTTGTCATTTGAGTTCAGCAAGTACTGATTCATGGGGACTCATTTTCAGCCTGTCACAGGGTGAAAGGTGCTTTAGATGCTGGTTTTCTATTGAAGAGATATAAAGATCCATTCTCTGTTACTCACCCTGAGATGGTATCTATCACGCACAGTTCTCAGTATGAAGTTTCTTAATTTCGACTCTTTGGAAGTCACTTCATTCTGCGGTGTCTTATGACACTTGCATCCCCTGTCCCAGAAGGTGGGGTAGGAAGGGACTGTTTGATTTTCTATTGGTGTTTTCACTAACTAAATACAGCCCTGTTTTGGGGGTCTTCACTCTTGCCAGGTAACGACCTGGGGAGGGTTCTGCGCTGGGGAGCCGGCTACAGCGGGGAGGACCCCTACTCCGTTCTGGTGTCCGTGGACGAGGCCGACGACGTCCTCATGGATCGCTGGACTATCCTCTTGGATGCCGAAGAGCCCGCGGAAGGTGCCGAGAACGGCCTGGCAGAGCCGGAGCCTCCCAAGGTGAGACCGGGCCCCTTCGGATCTGGAGAAACCCTTGTCCAAGTGAAAGTCACAAAACAGGCAGATTTAGCACAGTTTCGTCTCTATTGCCCGCGTATCTTCACGCGTGGCCATTGCTTAGCAAGCCAGTGCTTGGCAAACATGGCAGATGTTTGTTTAAAATGCATCAAATAGGTGAAGCTGAGGTCTGTACTTACTAGCTTAAACTGTTTACTCCCCAAGATAAAGGAAGGAGCCTGATGATATCGTGGTGAATCCATGGTTAATGCCAAATGTAATGGTGGCGTTAGATGTTCAATGAGCTGCATGCTTGTTGCATAGCATCACTTGGAGAAGTTTTATTAGTTAGTTTTATTTATTAGTTTTATCTCAGCATTTACAGGAATAACTTGACTTAGGCTTCTAGCAATTATTAATTGAATTAAATTTCGGCACACCTGTTAGTTACTACTTAAATCAATAATTGCCCATAGAGCTTTATTTTTAGTACGGTACCTCTGGAGCTTATTTTCTTAAGTCTGTTAAAGTTCAGATGGAAGAATCATTTCCAAAGCACATTTCTACTGAAAACTTTCGGAAACTTGGTTTGCACAGCAAGCCTCGAGGAAATTATAAGGAAAGATTTTTGTTTCCTTGTTTGTTTGTTTTGTTAGATTGTACAGATGAACAATTACTGTGGTCTTGGCATTGATGCAGAGCTGAGTCTGGATTTTCATCATGCTAGAGAAGAAGAACCTGGGAAATTTAATAGCAGGTAATCCTGGGGAAGAAGCGAAGCAGGGGGTGGGTATGCAAAAATATTCGTGTATTGTGGGATTTCATCATTGCTGATTTATGCCATGACTGAAAATCTCAAAATGATACAAATAACACTACCTGAGGCAAGGCTAGCACAGGAGGAATTAAATTATCTATAAATTCTTCCACATGGAGTTTATGTGGGTTTTGTTTTTCCAAATGAGAAAGCCAAAGCAGTGTGTAGAAGAACTGTCGTTATTATTCAGGATATTTGCTTGCCAATATTTTTGATATCAATATCAGTGAAATTTCAGGATAATGGAAATCCTCTTTTTCAAACAGATGAATAAAATGCATAAATAAAAGATAAAGATAAAAATTTAAAAAATAAAGGTAAGAAATTAAATATAAAAAGCATGAATTTCCATTATTTGACCCTATTAGGACAAGAGTGCCACTGGAATCCACATTTGCTAACTGTCTCCAGCACTTTTTCTACCTGGTGCTGGTATTCACGTGGAGAAGAAATTTAGTGTGGGGATTATAATCAGCTCTTTGGACAGAGATTTTTCCATTTCTTTAGGTTATTATATGGCAAATAATTAATCCTATGCAATAACGGTTTCAAACAGTACAGAATTAGAGCTATGTGTTGTACCATGATTTAATAAATGCTTCCAATCCAGACAAGGCCAAAAGATACTACTGGTAATGTACCAGGGCACATTTTGTCTGCTTTGAATGCATAAAATACCAAAAAAATAAGACTGCTGCTGTGTGAAGAAACAACCTTCAGGAACTGAAAGAGCCCAGCACAGGATAATGACTGCAGAGACAGTCCTGAATCTCGTGAATTTAAGAAAACTTTTATGGATTGTCGAGGTTGGCAGGGCCTGGATACCTTGTGCATGGCCCCCCTGGTGAAGGGTGAAAAGCACCAGAGTCCTCTCACTCTGTCATTAAATACATACCCCATCCAGTCCCCCCAGCTTTAGGACCTCAGCTTATGAGAGGTGAATGATTAACATCAGATGCAATTGGTCTTGGCTGCCTCTGGCAAAAAAAAAAATGCAGTTTTTCAGCACAGAAGTTTATTTTTAAAGAAGTTTTGCATTCAGGCAACACTTTGAGAACTTTTCCATGATAAAATTTTGAGGTCCCCTAATCAACAGTATGGTTTGTCAATGGTATAAATCAATGGTGTAAGTAGTAGCAGTTTGTGATTAATACTTTGTTTCTGGAACAAAGCAGAGGATTTCACAGAGGTTTTTAATTGAAAAGTTCTTTAAGCGTGTCTGCCAGAGGACAATGTTATCCCACTGCTGTAGATGATGCTGTGCTGTCACTTCAGTAACAGTCTGCTGGTCTGCCCCTAGGTTTCACAACAAGGGCGTTTATGTGAAGGTTGGGCTGCAGAAGATAAGTCATACCAGAAATCTTCACAAAGACATCAAGCTCCAGGTGGACCAGCATGAGGTGGAGCTGCCAAGTATAGAAGGACTCATTTTTATTAATATCCCCAGGTAAAGAGGAGAGGAGGGATCCTCACTTGGTCCTACGTAGTTATGGAGGGATCCTACATATCTTTATGTATGTATGGGAATGCTGCTTGGTATTTGACCATCACCCCTGTTGCTAAATGGTCTAGATGAGACCTTTGATTGCTGCCCCCTGCACAACCCGAGCTCTGAAGCTGTGCCTGGGAAAGCCAACCCTTAGGAAGGTTTTGACATCATTTGGTGGAACCACCTGCTTATGGCAGCACAAACCCCATATACACACATGCGCATGAGAACCGTGGGGGAAAAAGATCATGATTAGCACTGAGTGATCCATGTGCTCAGAAAACAAGAGAGTGATTTGAGGAAGGAAGGCTGATAAATCATAGGAAGCAGTTTCTAGGAGCACCTGTGGGGCTAAAAGTGTACAAATAACTGCTAAACTATTAGTTTTGCATGGCACAGAAATAAAATAAATCGTATTTTACCTTTAGTTATTTTCCTTAAGTTTTCCTTCAGTAGTTTCTGTGAGTATGGTCAAGGTCAGTAAAATCTGTATTAACTTTTTCAATCCTTTGAAGGTAAGGAAGGCTATAACCCGTATTTCCCAGCAAACTAAAGCTCTCTGGAGTTGTGTCTTTCATGTGGAAATGGCTTCACTACTTCTCCCACTCCTGAAATACCGGAAGTCTCCCACATTTTTGCAGTTCTCCCCCCTTTTCCAGTGTGATGGTCTGGCTGGGTCCAAAGCAGGTCTGAGCTTTGATCTGTGATCCGTGGGCGCTCACGCCGCTGTTTTCCCCGTGCAGCTGGGGCTCCGGAGCCGATCTCTGGGGCTCGGAGAGCGACAACCGCTTCGAGAAGCCGCGGATCGACGACGGCCTCCTCGAGGTGGTCGGCGTCACCGGCGTCGTGCACATGGTGAGTGGGTGCTGGGAACAGCGGGGGCCTGGCTGGGGATGTGGGAAGTGTTGGGAGCGTGAAGGGCTCGTTAAAATGCTTAGGAAAGCGTGCCTGATGGCTCCAGCAGCCATTGAACTCACTAAAAACCACACACACACACACACATATATATAAAATTATAAACAATTATTTAAACATTTAAATCCATAGTCCTGTGTCTCACGAAGCTGCGAAACAGGACTATGATTTCTGATCCCAAAAGAGAAATGTTAGTTACAGAAAGCAGTGAAAACTTAAGGCTGAAGTAAATGCAATGCATTTGCTTATATCTCCTCTAGTAAGGAGGAGTTATAAAAAACAATAGTCATCAAATGGTCATAAGCAATAAAAGGAAGATTAGAGTTTTATTTCTTCTGTATTTTCTTAGCCCTTTAAATATGTTTATATATTTTTCCAGGATTATATGAGCAATGCTTTACTGTATGCTTGTGTCTCTTCAAGCTGTTAGCTATGTAATGTAATGATAGCACTTAGTGTCTAAGTTGTGGGTGGCGACCATAAAACTAGCTTATTTCAAAATGCATTACTTTTATTGTAACCTTTATCATGGTGTCAAAACCAGCTACAGGATGAAAAACATTGTATAATTTGAATGTTATGATAACACCCACTCATCATTTAAGATTTTTTTGTAAATACAGTCCCGTCTCATTACAGTCAGCCTGCCCTTCGTTGGCAGAGAGACTCCTAAAAGACAAGTGGTTTTAATTCTTCCATGTCTTATCTATGTGTTAAAATGGCCAGCTAGTGGCAAGGCTGTCCCTTGGATTCTTTGTTTGATTATTTTTTTTAGTATTTCTTTCACCATTTTAAGAAATCTTCTGAAAAAGTGGTATGTGACGAGATAGCTGGAGACTAAAAATCTCTACAAAAAGCAAAAATGGAAAAGTGGGTACTTAAGATTGTTTGTGCAGCTCAACCTTTGGGGTCTGCCAGCTTCGCAGTTTTATAATTTATTTCTTTAAAGGAGTACAAATACAAAACATTCCATTAGAAGAAGCAGTTTGCTAGAGATCCTTGGATGCAATGTGTGGGAATATCAATATTAACAAACCTGTACTCTGGCTTTGTGATCTTGCATTAAGGTTTTTACCTGCATGTTTGGTGCCTCTACATGTTCCCCAAGAGGATTTATAGCAGGAAAATTAACTTTGCTTCACATTTCACAGGTAACACTGGCCCACTAGCTGTAGATGAATACGGAGGTGAATATGGCAAAATTCTCCCTCCGTGTTCATATGCTAAAGCGCTTCTAGGTTCTCAAGTTTTGCATAGACCAAAGTCCGTGTGAGTAGTTAAGTAGTTTGAAAAATATGTTTACTGCTTTATGGAGAGAAGGGAGTGAAAGTGAAGAAGATATTGGTGGGTGTGAGCTCTTTTACCACCCTGAATGTACAGATGACAGCCCTGTGTATGTTCTTTGCCTTGGACAGCATTCTGGGGGGATATATGAGTATATCTTCATGCAGTGACTTAAAGGGATTCATGTTGCATCAGGATGTGTATGCCCTGCAGATTTGCTTAAACAGTTCTCCCAACTGAAACTTGGAATTTCTGCTGACAGTGTGACTTTATCAACTCCTTCTGCCAGCTTAAGTGCAACTAAGGATTTGCTGGAGCTTCCTGGGTTTTGGCGTGGATGATGTCTTGGCTTTGACTTCCCGACAGGGCCAGGTCCAAGGAGGTCTCCGATCAGGAATCCGCATAGCCCAGGGCTCCTACTTCCGTGTAACGCTCCTAAAGCCAATTCCCGTCCAGGTTGATGGAGAGCCCTGGATCCAGGCCCCAGGCCAAATCATCATTTCTGCTGCAGGACCAAAGGTACTGGCTGTTGTTTCGTCTCAGCGATTTGACTTGGTTTTCCGTGGATATCGGCATTGCTTTTCCTTCCTCTCTCCTTGTTGTGCTCGATGATGGATGTTACCAAAGCTGGTCAGCAGAGGGTGGTAACTGTTGAGTAAACACAAAGCAGCCTCTACAGAGAGTGGTTCGAGGGCTCTCTCTGCCGACTGTTTAGGAAAACAGCCTGGGCTTCAGCCCAACTTGCTCATCTTCTTTCCTCTGTGGAGGTCTCGAGCAGCGTTGCTGGCACTAGAGCAGGTTGGAGTCACGAGAGCAATGTCGTGCTGGGGGAAAGACAGTCTGTCCCTACGAAAATGCGCAAGGTGAACAACAGGGCTCTGAGGAAAAGAGGCTTCTGAGTAAATAGTTGTCTGTTTTCCCTGTATAAATCAAGGTGCTTCAGTTAGCTGTGTATTTAAATTATTTTTCTGTTGCAGGAACAACATTTTGCTCATTCACAACTTGCCTTAGATCTGATCGTAGGCTACTATAGCTGCTTTGGTACTCGCTCACTTTCCTCAAAATCTGCCTCTTTCAGGTCCATATGTTGAAAAAGTCCAAGCAGAAGCAGAAGAAAACTGGAAGCCTGAAAGAGACGAGAACAGATGTCGGCCTGTCAGTCACTGAAGGAGGGCGCTGAAGGGGGATCCGCGGTCAGCGACTACTGTAGATACCACAGTGGTTCAGCGAGACTGAGTGCAGACAGCTAGGCCAGAAGGGTTGCCTGTGAGCGTGCCTTTCATTACATAATATAGTGCTGGTTTCTGCTTGGTTATTCAAAGACCTCAGTGCCTCATTGCTGCAAATACTTGTTATGTACCACTTGTCATCTGAATTGTTTACTTTGGGTTGCTTTTCTGTAAACCATTCCCCAGTTTTTAGTTTATGGAAACTGAGGCCAAACACAGGCTCCAAGATGCTGAGGTTTCCACATCTGTTTTTACAAAAGCTCCTCCTCTCTTCCCTGTTTTTCTCTTCAAGAAAACCATTCCATAGAAATATCATTCCATAAATGAAAATCTGTTCCTTTAAATTAATGCTCATAGTAGCCTCCAAATCAAAAAAAAAAAAGCAGAGATGAGCTGCTGAGGCCTCCTCAGATGACTCCAAATAACACAGCCAAAGCAGTGCTACCATAGAAGAGAAAAAAATAAAACACAGGAGAGAGGATTTCTATTAAAGGAGTCTCATACAGTGGGGAGAGACTGTACTGGAACAGTTGAGTCAAAATATTTAGGAAAATTTGGTTTTAACAATATTTGGACAATATGAATGAAGGAAAAACAGCTTTTAAAGCAAATTGTCAACCACTGTTTAACTTCTCCTACATGAAGTCAAACTCTGTTTTGAAAAGCATTTGAATTTCAGTAGTTACCATTCTAAAGTAAAAAGGAATCAGAATTCCCTTAGGCAGTATTACATTATACTAATTATTTTCTGTCATTGAGAAATTACCTTTGACACCAGACTTCTCTCCATGTTTTTGTGTTATATGTCGGACTCTTACTTCAGAGCAACCTTCAAAGACTAAAAGAACCATCATTAATTACAGTGAAAGAAATACCATTTAGTGTTTACTAAAGCAAATTAGGGCAGTGACAGGTTAAAGCTGAGCTGAAATAGGGTGCTGCAGGCTTCAGATGATGGGGAATGCGGCAGTTTTTTGGAAAACTCACTCACCCAGTGAGCCTGCGTGGGTCCCTCGCTGCTGCTGATGTTGCAGCAGTTGCAGGGCCGGGTGTTTGGTGGCTTCCATTGAACTTGTGCTCTTCAGAGGTTGCCCCTCTTCCAGCTCCCGTGGGATCAGACTACCTCTCCGTGCTCACCTGCCTGCTGAAGATACGGGGATGCAGTATTTTCTTCACAGCTTTCTGCTAAAGACTGGGGATGGAGCTGGCCAGTTGGCCCTGCTGGCCACAACCACAGTGGCCGTGGTCCTCGCTCGCCTCTCGGCCAGTCTCATCTCACTGTGCTCGTGGAGCGACTGGACCCTTCAGGTGACAGACCAGGTTGCCCTCGGCCCGCTCGGCTGCGGGGAGGAACATGCCCGTGGTTCTCCTGCCTGGAGCGGCTCCGGGTGCGCTGGAGAGCGCGTGGTGACAACAGGCACCGCTGCGGACGGCGTGAGCTCGTCACACGAGTGGCAGCTGTGAAGCTGTAGAGACAGGCAGAGGAGCCACGCGAAGATGGCACGAGCTGTTTCTCCTCGCTGCCCAGGGGTTCTTGTTGCTAACAAGGCCTTGCTGCTCCGGTGGAGGTGCTTTCAGAGGATAATTCCTTTGTTTTCAGTGAAGCTTCCTATTAATTGTTTAAATCATTAATTTGTTAGGGGCGATTTCATGTACTGCCACTTGGACCACAAGTTATAGCACATGTCAGCTATGAAGGTGATTGTGTTGATGACACACAGCTAAAATGCTCATCTCTTAGTTATTAAAAATTGGGGATTATCTGTACTTCAGAGCGTGGGCAGGAAGGGACCGACTGTAGCTCATCCAGCATCCTGGTACTGGCATTACCAGTAGGAAGGGACAAGTGTTGTCTTTTGGGATATGTGTCCTCAGGATGAAGCTAACAACTTAGGAAATCTTAAGTAGATTGCTGCTTGTGGCCTGGAAAGCCAAAGAAACTGCTTGGCATATAGCTGGAAGACCAACGGCATGGTCTTTTTCCCAACTGAAGACTCTCTGGTGGAGAGGCAAATTGCTGACTTTTGTTTACAGAAATCATAAGGGAACTTAAAGTTTGTTGGTACTGACCATTCCCTGCAGCCTTTCACTCACCGCCTTGTACTGCCTGAAACAAAACGAAACTCCTGGGTCAGGGAGCATTTGACTGTGATTCCACATTCCCAGGATGTTGTACAAGCCTGTCTGAGGGAAGCACCGCAGCAGGAAACCTGCTCTTCTTCCCTAGCAGGAGCATGAATGTGTTCTCCTCACAAAGAGGATCCTAGCAAAGGGGAGGGGAAAGGGAGAGGTCCTTTCTTTTCACAGAAAGTGGCTCTCACAAATTAATTGAGCAGACTCCATGATATATATTGGAATTAAAGTTTATCTTGAGTAGAAAATACTTGCCATAGGGTGCCTCTCTTAAATGATTTTTGGAATGTTGTCAAAGAAAAATTGGGCAGTTGAGAGAGAAAAGCTCTTCTAGAACCTTTTAACAGGGAAAAAAAAAACATTGAGTAGTGTTTAGATCTTCCAATTTCAGATACTGCGAAAGACCAGTATGCGACGGGCCTTTTCTAAGTAGCTTTTCATCACATTATGTATCTTAGAGGGCCTAAGGAATTCTTCTATAATAATATAAGACTTGAAGAGAGGTGTTGACTCCTTGTGTTTAACGCTAAGCATCCTGAGTTAGCACTTGCACTGGAAAATGTGGTAGTAGCAAAATTACTGTGGGAAAAGGCCCCGTTGTGTCAGAGACGGATGCTGAGCAGCGTCAGGGATGTGGAATTAGAGACCACAGGCCTAGACGGGGGGAAATGCAGGTGCACAGCTGCCCGGAGGGCACTTCTTGGTCCTCTCTCGACAGCTTTGCTTTCTCACCTCGCTTCATGCCACCATGGATGTTGGTGCTCCACCTTCCCTGGTGTCCTCAGAGGCTTTCCAGAACGGCGGAGAGAGGAGTCTGGAAGGCACGGTGCAAATCCTGACAAGAAAGGATATGGTCAGTTGCTAAAATCCATTTTGATGAGTAAATTCATCATTTCTGTCCTGAGCTGGGACAACCTAAATTCCAGATATCACGCTGGGGATAAAATATTCTCCCCTAACACAACTTCCAGCCTTCATGCAGTCAGTTTAAACTGCTGATGCTCTTGTTGCATTGATTTTTAAATGAAAGTATATGGAGCTATTTTGCCAAAAATACTTTTTTATTTATACATGTGTGTGCATGTGTATACATATATAGATATGTGTGTGTGTGTGTGCACATAGTCTTTAACTTCTGTTTTTTTACAGTGCATATTGTTTTGCAGCACAGCAGTGTTCACCTCTGGGTCTCTGTCGCTGCTTTTGGTCAGGATGCTGAGAGTTTGCTTTCTTGCTGGTCCCATTCAGGCTCCCAGCACGTATTTCTAGTGTCCTAATGCAAGTCCTTTCCAGCCAGACACGATGGTAAGTCAAAGCACAACTCTTTCAAGTGCAGTGCAGTGTCTGCTTGAGTACCCTCCGAGCTCGCATTGCACAGTGGGGATCGAGCTCACCTTGCTCTTTGGGGATTTATATCAAATCTTAATGTGTTTAAAGCCAGTGGTAGCATTTAATGTAATGCTTTAAAAGTTAGAGGAAGCCGTAGCATAGTTTGTGGCAAAATGTAAATAGGGAACAAAACCTAAATGAACTATTATAGACAATTGCTCACTAATCCTCACAGTTACCCTCTTCAGAATGTTGTACACATTGCACTTCTTTAAAGAGCAAATAATGTGCTTGTTCTGAGCGTTAGCTCCTAGGAAGTGATAAGCATTGACACATGCACATTCCTGGTGTATAAATGCACCATTGCTGAAGTGAAGCCTCATTTCATTTGAGGAGGAGGCAGGATGAAGCAGGTGGGAGGCAGGGGTCGGTGATGCGTTTAAAACACCCATTTCTGGCCTCAAGCACCCACTAGTTTCTACTTCCACATGAGCCGTGTAACAGCTTGGGTTCGCGCTGCAGCCTTGGCTCCGTTTGGGGCTTCGCCCTCGCGCTGCGCCGGGGTCACCCGTGTTTTTGCACTTAACAGTAATTGCAGCTTACATACACTTAGGGTGCGGCAAAATTGCAGAGTTTGTACTTCTGAAAATAAGGGGATTATTCACTCTACAGATGGAATATGCACTTTCAGGCTATAAAGAAGGAAAAAACAAGTCTGTAGAAAGCAACAGTTTAAGCCTTCAGGAGTTGCACGGACTGCAGTGTCCCTTCATCCCTGTCTCCAATACTGTGTTCTCGTTGAAAGCCCTGCTTGGGAAGGAGAGAAGATGGTATCTTCCCCACATTGCAATATGTATTTATTTCTGACTGACTGAAAGTTCATATATATTTTTAAAACAGTTATAAATTGGCTGCTATTTGAGGAATTAGGATTATTATACTGATTTTATACGTAATGTTAAAGTTTATTTATAATGTTAACATTTACTGATTTCACACTTTATTTGTATGAGAGGTCCAGCCCAAAAGTGTTTGTTTCTTTTGCTATTTAAGGTATATTGGGGGGACTAAGAGTGTAGCCATTGAGTATACGGAATGCAGCAAATTGAATGCAACCTACTAAAACAATTTCTAAATGTGCAGTTAGACCAGACAGTGACCATTGATTGTAAACTCATACATGTCAACTGAAACAATGCACTCCTTTGTGTTTTGGAAGCATTGTTTCTGCTTCCTGTGACAGTCAATGAAACAGTTGCCTTCTGGTTTAGACTCCTTCCTGTGCCCCTTTGGAGAAATTGAGGTGTTATTACCTTTTTGCCATGGACTTAACTGAATTTGTACTCATACAAGTGTTGTACTGAACGTGCTTTCCTAAAGATGGACTTTATTTTTTTGTGAAGATAATTTATGAGAATGTTTTTTAAGCAGTTTGGTGTTCTTGAAAAAGTCGGTTGGAAGTACTGAAATAAATGTGTGTAGATATTAATTAAAGATGTA